AATATCACAAAGTTATTTTAAGGCGTGTGGTGCTTGCATGGAATGGAAAAAACCCAAATTATAGACTCTGTTTTGGTTTGCTTTTTGTCTTCCCAGTGAAAACTACATGCAGTTCAAAGGTAACGCTCCACCTCCTCGCTTGGCCTCAGTCCTTGCGTTCATTCTTGAAGTACTTCAGAGAACTCAGAGCACTGAACTATGTGACATTGACTTAGTTCTCCCGGCTGTGTTGAAATGCATGGTGTTGGTTAATGAGCTACAAGGTGAGCTGCTTGTTTACTTTAAATACATCTCTGCACACCTGTAAGGTTTTTGTACTGCTGAGTATCTTTCATGCCAATATTTAAGACTCTCAGATGAGGTGAATGAGATACTTCGGCCAGATAAACTGGACAAGCTTTCTTTTTTCATTAACTGGTCTAGGACTTCTTTCTCCAAGAGGCAGAAAAGTCCTACCTTGTTTCGCTCTCTAATGAACTAACGATCAATTTCTCAGGAATCTGAAAAGCATTCCCTTTTTCCCCATCCTTCCCATCTCATTTCTCCCAGACTTGGTAACTGTGGAATATTTCTTATACCTAAAGGTCTGAGACTAAGTAGGACTAGCGTATGTTCTCCCCATAGAGCCATTATAAATGGATTAAAAGTAGCATGTTGCTCTCTGAAGGCATCTTTGCGTCTTCTTTCTTCTTTTAGCATGCTTTGTTTGGTAGAGAGAACTTCTTTATTTTTAGCTTCTTAAAAAATGAAGCACTCTGTTCATCCCACAGTTGTATAGTGAATGTGCATGTGTGCATAAGCTCAAAATTTCCACTTCTTGCTGCCAGTAGAGGCATTAAGCAAAATGGGGATTCACCTCTGACTTCGCCCGGGAATTTTGTCTGATAAAGTACTTTTTGATTCTGATCTATAACAGTTTCAAGGACAAGATATGCTTAGGAAATTAGCTGAATCATCACACGCCTTTCTTCCACCCTTTTGCCATCATAGTCATAGCAGCCTGAAGCTGAAAGTACCCACTTTGCAATGAGCTGTGGAGTCGAATGAGCTGAATGTCTTGTGCTGCTGTGGCCACCAGCGCTCTCCCTGCCTAGATGAGGCTCCACCACACCCTTGGAAAAACTCCTTCTAGCCCAGTTCCGCTTTTATAAAGGAAGAGCTGTATCTTGCAACTTGAATATTTATTTGGAAACAATTAAGGGGAAGAAAACAGTGGAGTTTTGTGTTGTTTCCCCGCCCCCCCCCTTCTTAAAAAAAAGAGGTAGGGTGGATTTCAGAACAAATACCCACCATTGAAATTAAGGATTAGATCTATATAGCTTTGTGCAGGATATAATGCCATGACTGCTTTTCTTTCATTCAAATAAGAATGATTAAAGAACACAAACTGAACTTAAATTTAAATAAAATCTCTATTTCCACTAAGTGTGTGTCTCTTTGCTTTAAGAGATCACAGTGTACTTAAAAATCTGTATGTTTAAAGGATAATGGTGGTGAAAATAAGACTTTTGCATAAATCTGTGATTCATTCTGTTCTTTATAGCCAATCTGACTAACCGCTCTCATAGTCATTTCCCTTGCATCAAAGTAAGATAAAACCATTTTTTTTTCTCATTTAAAAATTGTAGTCTTCATGAAAGACATTCTCCAGATGGTCAGTTCAAGAGATCTGTGTGAATCTTGTGATTTTTCTTTTACAGTTAAAAAAATATCTACAGACATTCTACAGTACGTGGTAGAAGGCTGCCAAGCAGGGTCAGGAGGAGAACGTGCCACCCAGCTGACTTCTGTATTTAGGTAACCAGAAAATATGCCAATTGGCAGTGAAGTTACTGCAAGCCAATTGACAGCAAACATGTTTTTTGGAAAATAACTCATTATCCTTAGCATACTGCATTGTCACTTGTTTACGGTATTTAAACAACGGTACTTTTGGCACTGATTTTAAACATAGCTTGGTCAAAAAGCCAGAGCAAAAAAAGTAGAAGAGAGAAGCATACCTGTTTTCTCATGGATTAGGTACTGTTTTAAAGGTATGTAATAGAGAGGTATGTTGCTGCTGCAATGGGAAAAACTCCTCATGAACGGTGATGGTCAGTGTTAGGTGCTGTGAAGGATGCGCGTGCCTAATTTGAAGTGCATATAATAGAGATCAAATCTTCATATATAACAAGCTTAGCTTTTTTTTTGTTATTTATTTGATTTTGTGACAAATAAACAACAGATTATTATAGTGTAAATTATACTTATTCCATACCTGTGCAAAATGAATCCTGTTTCTCACATACATACTGAAAAGCTGCATGAGCTGAGACCCGAAGACATTTTGCAAACCTAAGCACTGGTGCTGTACTGGGTCATGGCTAGATGAAAGCTCCAGAGAGAGTCACTGAAATAAGAATAGATGTTTTTGGCCATGCCGGTCTGTACACGATACATTACTTCCATGGGATGTGTCATCCCTAGTGTGTTACTTCTGATTCGAATGTAATCTGTGATCTTTAAAGACCGCAAACCCTCCAGAAGACAAATGGGCGCGCTTCTGTCCAGTGGTCTGCCCTGCTTAAAATCCGGTGGAGCTTTATAAGAAATGCCAACTTTATTTCTGCAGTCTTGAATCTAGATCTCTTGTCTTGCTGATCTTTTTTTAAATTATTATTTTTTATTAAATAATAGATTCATGTTTTAGTTTTGCATTCAGACACATTACAAAGTCAAGTGCTCTGGAACAAGTCAGCCCTGGTGAAACAGCAGCAGAATCTGACAAGTTGCTCGAAAAGAAAGGTGTTGGATTTTTAGCGTTGGCCTTCACAAGCATGGCTTCGTTTAAAGAAAGTATTCCATGTAGAGTATTTCAGTGTAACAATATGAAAATTGCTATGCAGCCAGATTCCTTGTTCTGATTAGACTCTTCAGTTGTTCTTGGCATGTTCTCTGCATCTAGTTTTGACCTTGCATTAAATGCCTCTGTGTCCCCCTCAGGCGGTTTATCCAGGACTACACTGCTGTGTATGATCACCGGGTTTTCAGCATACTGGAAACAGTGGCAGTCTTGGATCAGACGTTAGTTACCAGCCTGATTCCCACAATCACACAGTCGCTGAAGGATTCGGAGCGCAAACAAGGTCTTGGAAGAAATGCTGCACAGAGGTTTGATTTTTATTTAATATTGTTTTTTGACAATGAGCAGTATAGGTTTATTCTCTTGAAAGGAAGCAATGTTAGACAGCAGCACAGATACTCAAAAATGAGTGATTTTTTCAGTGTGTTCAGTCAGAAATCTCCCTTTGCTCAGGCTTTTCATGGTTTTAAGCCATCTATATTTGGTAAATATTTTCAGAGATGTTTTGACACATGAGGGTCTGCAGACCCCAGTAGAATTTATGCAAAGCCGTGTTGCCTCTGCTCACTACATGGTACGTTGCAAAACGGAATAAAGAAGAATTCCTGCTCCAAAGAATTTTCCTGTCGGTCCCTGTTCTGGAGGACTTTATAGGCCATATGTAAAATTACGGTATAATCAGGTATGATCTCAGATGCTTGGAAAAGAAATACGCATAGCTTAATTTCAACAGTTCTGTCATAATATAAACATATATTTATGACAGTTGTGGACGTCCAGAAACGGCTGCCTCCTCTCCTACAGGTACAGCAGACTCACGCTTCCTCCGTTTGCCCCCCAAGAACTTAGGACAGAAATATTTGACTTGTGAATCCATCTAGCGTTAGGAGGAAATGGCCCGTGAGGTGAGCAGCTCCGCACAGATGGTGGTGCCTCTGGGTGCAGATGCAGCGCTGAACTTTGAGCACCTGTATAAACGCTGTTACTCCCGGAAGCTCTGCCCAGCGTGGCACCCAAACCAAAAGGGCTCCTCCTGTTAGTTGTGCGCACTGGAAGGCTGGCCCTTCACCCTCGTGTGATCTGGGCAAGGAACTGGCCTCGGTGTTTGCATTAATGCACGTACTGGGACCACTCAAAGGGGAGGACCCCAGTCACGCCTCAGGCTGGAGGAGTTTTTGAGGTGCATGTCAGCAGGGCCCAGGCTGTAAAAAAAAAAACCAAAACACTAAAAGACAGAGTGTGCAGGAATGTAACTCATGAGACAGTAAAGGGTAGTCAAAGGGTATTAATTTTCCATTTAAAGAAAAATATGTTTAACTGATTTGTAATTATATTATTCACTTTTTGTTATCCTCTACCAACAAATACATTTGCTTTTATTTAAGGGAGTTCACCCAAGGTCAGACTGAAGTACCGTTATATGCAGGATTTTCATACTATCTGCTTTTGATCTTTTGATAATATATTTTATAGCCAATTTTCATATTTTTTTATACTGTTAGTAAGGTAAAATTCATCCCTTTACCTGCAAAATATGGGGAAAAAAGCAGGTTGGTTGAACTTTCTGAAATATATGCTTGGAAATTACTGAAGAGCTAAATTTCTTTTAGCCTCATCACTTAGCATATATGCTATCTCATGTGTTGTTGATGTTTTGTATTAATAATTTGTATTTAGAATGTGCTCCGTTATGCAGCAGCCTAAGTTGATCCATGAACATTTTATCGTAAGAACACTAATAACTGATTTTCTGTCTTCAGTCCTGACCACTAAATAACTTTATATTAACATATTCTGTGCAATTACTGTAGACATTAAAGTACAAACCCATATATATAAAGGAAACAAAGTTCAGGAGTTGCACTAGATGCTTATAGTGGTGATGTCCACTGCTGTCATTGCAAGGAACTAGTATAAGAGCTGCAGTTTTGTTCACTTAAGTTAGTCTTTCATGATAGATAATTAGAATAGACCTAAATGTCAGAGGCAATACTTTATAACAATAATTATATTGTCTAGGCTGGAGAGTATTAGAATGAACTTAAGGTGAAAAGTCTCATCAACACATATGCACGCTTCTGGAAGACCCACTTGAGTGACATTCCCCTTCTGAATCTGAGGTTTATTTTAAATCTCATTGCCCTTTGTTGAGGATGATGGTGTAAATCTGTGTCAGTGCCAGCATGCACCCTAGTGCCAGTGGCTCGCATCGCTGTGCTGCAGCATGAGTCACAGAGAGATTTCTTATGCAGAAATAAGGCAGCGAACATGATGAAGTCTGAATGCCAATCTCATCTAAGCCTTGGAAACTCCATGTTTTGAAATAAAAAATTTCTATTTCACAGCAGCTTACTAAGCAAGTAGACTTCTAAGCATCTTGATTGCACTTCCAGCCCTAAACAATGCAATCCTCAATCCTCATTCTTCTTCCAACCCGGCCACGCTAAAAATTCACAGCAAACAAAGCAGTTGAATAAATGGGGGAAGGGAGTTACTGTGTTTTAATATGCCAATATGTACACAATGTGTTTGGGAATTATGCGCTTTTACTCCTAGGATGTGTGAGATTGTTTAAGTAACGTGTTACATTCTTTTGTTTTTTCCACAGAGAAGCCTATAAAAGACTCTTATCTTACCTCACAGAGGCTGGACAAAATGAGATACAAAAACTGGAAAATGAGACAGGTTAGCAGTGTGCTGGTGATTAATCCTTTCCTCTTGAATGTTCTGACACTGCCGATACTTAAAACTACACTCTACCACACACTAGCCAAGTTCTTTATCTTTACAATGGCAATACATTTCTCAACTTTGGGGTTTTTTTTCCCCAAGTTGTGTATTAATTTTAGTAATTTCTGTGGTATTTGACTATTGTCATGCATCTGAAGAGTAACTCTCAGTATACTGTTGAATGGCAATTGAAACATACAGCGAATTAATTACGTTAAAATGTCTATAGGAGCAGAGCCTGTACTGCAACATACAAGGTAGGATTTCAAAGAATCAAAGTAATTTCACGACTCGATTCACATTGAGTGAGACCTGACCCTCTTAACGCTGTACTTTTGAAAAGCTTATTCAGTATGTTCTTAAGAAAATCATAACTTTGTAATTTCTAATTTATTATTTTAGTAGAATGAGGAAAAAACTGTGATCTCTAGTACTGAACTTGTTGAATGCAGTGCATTCACCCGGAGTTGCACCAGTACGATAGAGCTATTGTTTAACATGGTGTTTGTTAAGCTTGTGTATATGTTGCACAAAATGTATATAGCTGTCTTAACCTTCCACCTGTATTAAAACATTAAAGTCTTTCAGATCCCAGTGTAAAATCTCTTCTGTTGTCTTTGTGGGTAATATAAGAAAAGGTAGGTTCAGATTTCCTGTTCTCTTCCTTTTCAATACTATTAACCCATAATTTCCAGTGATCCCACGATCTTTTTATTAGCCGTGACACTGTTAATTATCAGTTTAACTTAGACTAGGTGTAAATGGTGTGAGAAAAAAGGAGAGAAGCCAGGCTTCTGAAGAAAGTACACATCTGGGGAATTTATTCCATTTGATCATAGGCTAGGAATTATTCCTGTTTGCCTGCAAAGTTGGATCTTTCAAATATTTTGCTGTGTTACGGTTTATCTTTTGGGTCTTTCCAGGACAGACCTAGCTCTGCAACTTTTTTCTACTTTTTTTTTCTAAAATTCTCAGGAAACTTTCATTAATGGCTATGGTATTCACATTTTTCACTTCCCTCCATAACCTGTATTTCTGCAACTGCTTACTGGACTTTGGGAGTGGTAAGTTTGCCCTTAATGGCAACGCTGGCGAACAGGCTGCTTCCTTTTAAAATTATTCCGATTTTAACTATACGATATTAATGGGAAGGAAAGATTATTTTTGTGTGTAATAGCTCCGCAAAAATCCCTAAAATCTTGTTCAGAGCCGCTTCTCTTTCGTTACAGTAATCTTATCAAGTCGAACTAGATAATCTTTTTGCCTAAATCGGCTATCGTTACTTCACATAACGCAGTAACTAAAAGCCTCTTTAGGCTACTTAATAGTGCAGAACATGGAGGTTCTTGTCATTACGAAAGGGACTCATTGAACTTGCATCGTAGCTTCTTGTAAGCTTCTGTACCTGGGAGGAGTTTTATTAATCTCAGGAAAACTGTGCTTCTAAAAAGCTTTTTTTTTAAAAAAAAAAAATAAAAATAAAAACCTCTCCAAGAGACATTAATAGACATGTCTTAGAAATTTGAGTCCTACGACACAGTAGATTACAGAGCAGGTGTCTGACTGTAGTATTACTTCCCGAAAGTAAAACCTTTGACTTTTAAAGGATAGAGCAGATATTATAACAACACATTTAATGATGTGTTTAGTAGGTTGTTAAAGACATATTTAATACTATCTCGTGGTTGGAAGTTTCTGAAAAAGCAACAGAGCTTTATGTAAATGCGTAGCAGCTCGGGGTGCATGAGAAACTAATTTAAACAGTTTGGAAATTATCATTCTTCTCTGTCAAAAAGTTAATGCGAACAGAAATAAAGCATTCTGCATCGTATTCATCAACCACTGCCAAATGGGCAGTCTGGTTTGGTCTAATTATTTGGTACGGACATTTGCAGATGTGACTGACAGTTCTGATAATACTAATGAGCTGAAGGCTTGCAGAGTGCTAGTCTAGACTGACTTACCAAGTATACACCAAAACAACACCCCAAAACCAGTTAGGAGGAAAGAAAAAAGTGCTCATTTTTGAAGTACAATATAGAAAAAGTAAACAGTGAAACCCACCATGAACTAAAAGAAGTTAATATATTATGTTGTCTTAGATGCTGTCTGTATAAAGGCTACTTAGGACACTGAACATTATTTAAATTAAACCTTTCTGTATTATTTTACACATGAACAGTTTGGTTTAAAACCAGTACAAATGCCTGGTTTCTTTACACAATGCATGGAGAACGGCTTAAGGTAAAGAGCAGGAGATCCTTGAAAGCTTTTACCCTAGTTGCTGCCACTGACAGGAGCAGTTCATCTGCATATAGATGCAAAGTCTGCCTCTTCACTCCGCGTGATAAACAAGAGGATGGAGCCTTGCTGTAAGCTGGGTAAAGAGGAGATCTGAAACTAGGACTTCCACCTACTGGTGAGTGATATCCTTAACCTCTGTCAGAGGAAAGGAACTCATCCCCTGCCAAGCTTGCTTTCCTCTTCTCCTTCCACCAAAGATTCATCTCCATGGTCGCTTGTACAAGGCTGAAATTGGGGGGGGACGGGGACAGTGCTGAGGGATTTGTATAGGATGCCGTATGCAGAGTAGGAAAAGCATGAAACAGAAGCAACTTAGATGTTAGTTCTGCCAAGGATCAATAGCCTGGTAGCACAAAGCTTGGCTCCTGAGCAGCTGGCAGCACTATCTTAGGGGTTATCCAGCAGATACTTAGGTGTGCAGTGACTCTGAACAGCAGCCAACAGCCAAAAAGAATTTTGAGCAATTCCATGATGTTAAACTTACTTACACCTCTTGCTCTGCAGTAATTTTCCTGCCAGTGTGTGTATAGGTGGTTTGTTAAGCCTTTTAACTTGGAACCAGAACCAGTAGATGCTTCTGGTGTTACCAGCACGTCATATACCAACGTGAGAGATCATCACCTCTGCATTGTGGGTGTTGGAACAGGCAATTTCAGACACCCGTCTTCCCTGAAAGCCAGGGAGCATCAGGACAGAATTCCCTGCAGGCCACAGAGTGAAGATGTGGCACTGCCTTGCTGGGCCTTACAGGTTTTGGAGTCTTTGTTTCTCCAAAGCAATGGGTTACCAAAAGCTTCCACCAGCGCTGGGCAGATTTCTTTCTCTGCTGAGCCATTTGCAGGATGATCTGCTCTCCGCTAAATAATATAGGTCAGATACCTGTTTTCCACTTTATCCCAGGTGAGTATCACAGCAAAGCTACTAAGCAGGGCTTCCATCAGCCTCTGACAAGATCGTTCATTACAGGAAAAGGATCATGCCTCAAATCTCTGATGATTTCCAGCAGATAAAGAAAGGTATGTCTCAAGATCACCTTCCTAGAGATGTTATATCAGTCAGTTTGCCAGCGTGGCCCGTGGTTCCAGGGCCGTGCCAGACCTTCAAGTGGGGGCTTGCCACAAATGAGCAAAGGATTGTGGATTTGTTAAGGGTCGGCGACTCTTGCAAGCAACTCATCCTGCATGATGTCTTAAGATGTCATACACATTTCTTTCCTCCACCGAGCCTCTGTAGTTTTACAGAGGTAGTTTTACAGCAGTCATTCAAGCTGTTCTAGAAGATAATGGCTGTTTCTACCATCTTATGGAAAATATGGTGGTTGAGATCACGCTGTGTCGTGTGTGGATGCAGACTTCTGCCGGGGGTGGGGGGTGTTGCCCGTTTGCTTGGTCCCATTTAGATCAAAGGCCTGAGTGTGACCTAATCCCAATTTCCCGGACTTTCAAAGCTGTTGGAAAATCGACTTCCAGTAAGAACTCTTCAGTTAGCACCTGACCAACCGCACAGTATTAGACAAGTGTGCATTTGCCTGATGAAAACCTACGTGGTGATCACTAACTTGCAGGCTTCACATGAATACAGGACCACTGTACCTATCCATGCTTTTTAAAAGGCTTGGGGGTTTTCAGCCTCAAATCCCCAAAACATTATTTACAGACCTTGTTGATGTATTTGACATATCCTCCTCGGGCCTGCATTGTTGCTGTCGCAGTTCTGGGCTGGGAAGGGTCCGTCTTGCAGTATGTTGTCTAAAAATAACATTGCTCGCAAGGATGGACATTTACTGTACCCCCATAGCTGAGGGTGAAAAGATCCTGAAAATAAGGTTGTAGCTAAAATTCCTAATGAAATCAGAGACACTTCAACATATATACCTGGGCTTAGTCCTGCTCCCCTTCTATATATGAAAAGTTTGTAGTATTAAGCCGTTTTGAACATCAATTAATTACTCTAGCTACAGGATCACCATATGTCGATGGAGTTTTAACAACATATTAAATCTCAGTACGCTTTTTCTTCCCCTAAACCTGTTGCATGGTCCATGCCCGATATCTCCTTTCGTTTAGAAACACTAATAGTGGTGACAGGAGACCTGTGTAAAGCAGAGCAGGCGTGAGCCTTGCCAGCATTTGCTGTGCTGATCTCAATGGCCAGAGGACTGTTCCAGGACATAAGAGGACTACTCTGCCTTTTTCTTTTTGCAATATGTAGACTTTGAGAGCTGAATAGAAAGTATTTCAGTTTTATATTTTCCCTCTTCCAGAATTCCGGATACTGATCACCTCTAACCCATTATCATCCTTATGATATAAACCAGCTGTCCAGCGCATCACTAACAATAGCAGGGAGAAGGGAGTCTGCCTTATCTTTCCTTTAGTAACCTTAAAATGATAACTGAAAAAAAAAGACAGACACTTTCTGTTCAAAATTCACATGCAACTTCCATTAGTCCCACAAAGCTGTCCCTCTATTTTATAAGAATTTCCCATTTGTTATTGTTATTAAAGAGCAGGAACATGGTAATTTAAATTACTCCTTGCTTTCATTTTCAACGACAAAAAAAAAAATAGAGGGGGGGAAGGCACTTGTTTCAATAAAAGAGCTTCTGAAATAGAAGAATTTATGCCTTTTATGCCGGAATAGAACAGCAGACCTATGGAAAGAATAAGGTTCTGCATATCTGTTGTAATTGCGCAGAAGAGGAGCTGCCAATAGCATGCACTACTTTGAGAGCCGTTTAAGGAACTTTAATAACTGTCCACCTAAAGGCAATGTGTTTCCCTCAGGAAACAGAAAAACAGGCTTTATAGCCCTCTGTTTTTCCTTCTTTCAGTAGCTTTTGAAAATTATGTATGCATGGGTATTTTCAGTTTCATCATATTTTATAATTTTTAACTATTACTTAAGACTCAAATTCAGTGTAATCAGCCCATCTGTTAGCAATGGTTATAAAATTATGTTGAAGATTAAAAATCTGATGCAGTGTCAATATGTCCTGGCATAATTAAGCTTGTTTTATGATGAATGACTAGGATATGGCTTTTGCCTACTTGAGCAGCTTTAAAATGGTAAACCGCTTGTAGACTTAATGTACCAAATGCGAAGGTACGTATAGAGCAACAACAAAAAAAACCCCTTAAACTCAGATCCTGTATCCATAGATGTGCTGTCTCTGCAGGCCTCGGGAAATGCCAGCAGGGTGATGCCGCGTCACAACCAAATTCACTGCATTTTTCGGTCCATCAAACGCTATCTCGGATCTACTCTCCTCCCTGTAGGATGTCACCCAAACACGTATTAAAAATGCAAGTTTGCTAAATTCATCATTCATTTTAGAAAGGGCCGACATGACCTGTATGGGCGCTGGTGGAAAAAACTTTAGCACAGCATTCATTTAGGTGAATTGAGGGTATTGCTAAAAATACTTACGCTGTGCTTCAGTATTTGAAGCACCGCGGCAGAGCCTGATCTACCCACAGTAAGAGTTAACATTTTAAGCATTTTAATTCTCGCATTACTGTGAAATGGCTATATATAATCATCTCTATTGGAAAACCATTCTTTATGTGGACACTTTTTGTCCCTTTAAAAATGTGTCCTTGGGGAAAAAAAAAAAAAAAAGAAAAAAAAGCCTGTTTTGCAAAAATAAAACCGTATAAGCCCTTTATATAGTCTATGTGCTAAACTTCCCACAAAGTCTTCCTCCCCTACAAACTCTGCCTGCAGATGAAGTGTTTTAACCTTGCCCTCTTAATTTATTCTACATTCTAATTTTCAATAAACAGATGCCGCCTCTTTTCGCGCTTGTTTCCACATTGTTCCACATTCTGCCTGTGTTGTTTCTGCATGTGTGAATATTCAATTATCTATTTCTCCATGATTCTGCAACTGATGTACTAAATGCCTGTACAGGTTTGGGGGGAGGGTAACCGGGGAAGGCGAAAGTTAGAGGGGAAAAAAAGAGTTACAAAAGTTTGAATTATCCTGAGAGTCAGGTACTTTTTCCCTGAAAGCTGCTAAATTAAGAAGAAAATTGTAAGCCACAACTAGAAATGCAAGGATTACAAAACCACTAGTGGACGGAAGCAGAATTGCTGGACCGTGGCTCATAACATACAAGTATTTCTTCGGTCAGCACTTGGGTGTGAAATGCTCAATAGAGACCACAGGGGCAGAAGAGGCTGTTGGTGCTGCTGCTTCTGGACACTGCATTTATTTTTTTTTTTTTATAAAAAGCACAAAGCAGGGGATTGCCATTGTGGTTATTTATAGCTAAGAAGAACCGATAACACATCTTCGGACTCAAAGGTGAAGTATGCAATATAAAGGATGAAATACCAATCTTTATGGGAACGGCCCAAAAATGAGATTACAGGACAGGTGTAAAAGTGCAAATGCTCTTCAGTACAGCTCTCGAGACCTTGTGGCCCAAAAACCTAGTTGCAAATCTAAATAGCCTTAATCTGTGAAACTAAGGAATTCAGGGTGCGGAACCGCACTGGCTTCCAAACTGTACAGTTAGTAACTGCTGCTGCATTATTATTCGTTTGTAAGGATACCTCTCTCCCGAAGCACTGGTGAGCTCTTACCGGTTGCCGCCTGCGCCACGGCCGTGCACGCTCCCAGCTGGGAACCCCCGTGACTGGTGCCAGCAGCTGCTCTCGCGCTGTGCGGCTGTGACTCTGGTAACGAAACCATCGAGCACGGAAATAGTCTCATTAGGGGCAGCTTTGAGGCTCTGTGGAAAGAACGAACTGAACTGCACGTCAGAGGGACGTACCGGAACTGTTCGGCTGGGCAGGGACAAGGGTTGGGTTTAGAGGTTTGCGTTTGCCAAAAACGGGACAAAATGTAGACCGGCAGAGGTGGATCTGGAGCTTGCACACGGGAACCTGTGACTGGGACGGTTTCAGACACTAAAAGTGAAAGCGGCAGAGCTGATGCGTGGTTGTGCTGATGCAGAAGCTCCGGCTCAGCGGGCAGCCCGTGCGGGCAGGACTCCTGCGCCGCCACAGCCGGCAGGTGAAGGCAGCCATGCTCTCCCGGCCCCTGCTCCTCCTCAGCAGAGAGCCCTCGACCAGAGCAGGGCTACCGCTGGCACCAGCGCGCTCTCTGCCTGCTCTTGTGTTGCCACCGGTCTCTCTTCTTACCTGGCAAAAAATAACCATTCTGGTTTTGCTCCCCTGGCAAGGGCCATGTGACATTTTCTGGCTTCAAGTGCAGCAAAGCACCCCCATCTGTCCTGTAGGTCCTGCAACAAAGGCAGAAAGACCCAGATAGGAAAGCGCGGCACAAAAACTCGGGGGCTAAGAGGTTGCCGTGAAAGGCTTCTCTGTAATCAGTGGAGCCTGATGATTAAGAGCCAGAGCAGAATCCCGACACGAACAGGAGCATATGTGTCATCCTGAGGCTCTGTGGCTGTGGTACCCTCAACTAAGCTCATGCAATTGCACAGCTGTTTAAAACTGCTATTCACCAGTACAGGCAATTGGTGGCAACAACCGGAACAGTAAAAGCATCAAAAGGGCAGAACAAACATGATAAATAACTTTCTTGCCAGACGCTCCCACCTTTCAGCCCTTGAGCCAAGAGGCACAAACTGCTTTGCAGAAGGAAAACTTCCCCCCTCCCCTTCCGAAACCCGGCCCTCGGGCGCAGCTTGCTGCCGCCCCTTCAGAGCCGGCCAGATCCATCCTAATCCTGAATTTTGTCATTTATCAGCAAAATTCAAATTTCGAGTTCAGAAATGATTTCATAGCCACAGCCTAAAAGCCTCAAAACTAAGACGTGCAAAACATATTTGGCGCTGTTGTCTGGAAGTGCACCGCTGGGTTTTACAAAGGCTGAGAAATTAATTCTCCCACCACCCGCAAAATAGGAATTACACGTCAGGTCTGCACCCGGGGCGACAGCTGACGACTCACCTGGTGTGGTACCTCCGGGAGGAGGCTCAAAGCCCCAAGGATCTCTACACACACGTTTTGATTATTTAGCCACCCCGTTCTTAATAATGCGACACATAATGTTTGTGTCCCTGCAAGTCAGACACAAGTAGAACTTTGAATACTTGCCAGGCCTGGGCCCTGCACCCCACCTGGGGCAACACTCGGATTTTTGATTTTTTTTTAAAGTGTAAATGGTCTGGTAGGAGAGGTGGCCCTTGCACCCTGATTTCCAGGAGATAAAAGAAATTAAAACAAATGAAAAATCGTGATGGCTATACAGCTCCCGTGCAGTTAGAGGAAAGTACTGCGTGGATTTTGTGTGCAGGGAGAGACATCGTTAGCACTCGAGTCAGTGTGACAGGTACAGATGTTGCACAGAGCAGAGCTGCAGCTGCAGCGAGAGTGAGAAAGCTCAGAAGAAAAAAAAAAAAAGAAAAAAAGAAAAAAAAACCCACAAAACTTTCTAACCTGAAAATTAGCGGAAAAGGCCAGGTGATGTTCCGTGAGTGCGCTGCCCAGCTGGAGACGGTGATAAAGTTCACCTCCGTGAACCTCCCCGTATCACTAACCAGACCCTTAAAGGGGAAAAGATGCGTTGATTTGGAAACGCTGCTCACTGGACGAAGTCAAACCTGTTCCTGTCCAGCGAGCACGGGCGATTGCTGCCGCATATTCTGCACAGGGCATTTGCATGAGCGTCAGTAGGAATTTCATAGGTCTGCTCAGATAGCACGAGGGCAGGGAACAGATCAGTAGGTAAAGCAGAGAAGTGCGGAGTGCCCATAAATCATAAATAGAGAAAGATTTAATTACATGCTTGGTTAATATTTACAAACATTGAAGTTGTTGTTAGATATGTAAATAAAAGACAGAAATAAGAGACAGGGGCTGCAGTAGCCAAGCAAAGCCAAAATATACCAGGTTAGAGTATTTACTGTGAACTGGCATATGCCTGGAGTATGGAATGGAGACACACTAGATAAACTGAAAGAATAAATAAATAAATATTGACATTGTTCTACACCTGTTTAGCCTCTGGAGACCAGTGATTTGTGGGACCATATGTTGGACAAAATGAGACTGTTCGTTGATAATTGTAAATGTGGTGACCCCTTGCAAACTGGATATTAAAAATATTAAGTAAATGGCACATTTTAATTATGCAGTAAAGAGGCTGTTCTCCACCATTAAAAGACTGCAGCTGTCAGGAGGAATTGATCATATGACAGAAGGTAACATTTATTTCATAGTAGACCTTGGTAAATGACATCCCAAATGATCTTTAGATTCTCAGAAAAACACATTCAGTTCAGACTTGGGTTTAACCACGAGGCTTCGGTGCCTTTGTCTTTCAGCTGAGACAATTTTTAGCTGTTCCTCATATACTACAGGGCTTTTGGGGGGTTTTATTTATTTATTTATTTATTTATGTTTGTTTTAATCTGCTTTGCAGTATTTAAATTTCAAATGAAGCAGTATTAAATGAGAACCTGTAAACGATGGAGTTTGGAATTGGAAGTCAACACATTTGTTATTCTTTTTGCCAAAGGTATTGAGTAAGTTGCATAATTACCACAGTATTATATCATCTTTGTCAACATAAACACAGCTTTCTATCAGCTTTGCAAGTGCCATCGGTGAACAACTGAACGTGCAGACTCCAAAGAAGAGCAGCCCAGGAGGAGCTGAGAGCATTCGCAATGCCTTACAAAGCTGCATAAGGAAATGAAGTAGAGACAGGCAGCAAGTAGTCACCAGCAGAAACGCCAAACGCTCTCATGTATACGCTTCTACATCTGAGGCAGACGAGAGAAACTGTGGACAGGTTTTGTAGCTTCCTGCCTGCACAGGAGGTTGTGATCCGACTTTAAGACAAATGTGCGAAGGTAAAGCAGCGGCCCGTGTGGACTGATCTTTCCTCCCCTCTGCTTCTGATTTTATGAAGTGGACGTTCCTCGTCTCACATTGTGCCGATCCTGTGGTGAGGCACTTGCAGAGTCTGAAGGTTGGGGCACGTGAAATAAGGAGCTGGAAGAAAGCACGCTGCTATTCCGTTGGAAGCAAAGGGGAGCGTGGGCCCATAGAATACTTCTTCCTTCCCTTCCTTGCTAACATCCAGCACCTGCAGGCCAAAGCAGAAAAAACATTTCAGGGATCACAGAAGAAAGCTGAAACAAATTTGCTGGCACACACCGTATAGGGGTACTATTAATCCCAACAGAATGGAAGTTTCCGATCATTTTTAGACTGCATTTATGGATCTATTGCTGTCCTCATCGCCCCAATCTTAGCCCAACTCAGGCACTCAGTAGCAGACAGGGACATTGGCTCCTGCTTCCTGGCAGCAGAACGTGCGACCACGCAAATAAGGTACTTCGCACAGAAACGCTGCTGTTGCCACAGAGTGTGAATCACCTGTCAGCTTGGTGGTACATCGGGAGCAAGGGAGCTCCATCGAAGTTGGAAAGGCCAAATAAATTAATGACTTAAAGAAAACGAAGATATATGGAAAAAGTGGAACTTTTTTTTTCTTCCAAAGGAGAGGGCAACCTCAAATTTGCTGATCTGAAGATTAAAGGGGTAGTTTTCCTGGGTAAAGCCAGGCACGCTGCCAACAACTGAGAAGGGACAGCACGCACAGCTCTGCCAAAGCGCTCGTCTTACTTCTTTTCCCTTGAACGCAGGGACTGTCACAGGGACGCTTGCCAGTTCACGACCAGTTTGGGGATGTGGACAAATGTCCATTTAAGAAAGCAAGATCCCAGTGTCATTTTCACTTGTCACTAAGCGGTACTTAAACCCAGGTGCAACACGGCAAAGTACCTGCTGATTATAAATAAGCATATTGGTGGAGTACAGCCACCACCTTGATATTGTGCTCTTCCTCCATCTGAAGTGCTACATCAGCTAGTGAAGCCAGTTGGAACAAACTCTTCCAATCACAATTATTAGGTATGGTATCCAACAATTTAGTAAAACAAAATTATACTATGACCAGAACATGGTTTTAACTTCTTATGTTGCACGATCTATTCTTTACAAACTCATGCTAATAAGTATTCATTATAAGGTCAGCAGCTCAACATCCAATATATTCCCTTCTTATGCTAAGTCTAACTTATAGGCGTATGGGACAGCTTGGAGGTTAAATCCTAAAATCCTTAGTTGGAAGCGAATGAAAATGTTGTTTATCGGCAAAAGTGCAGAAACTGAGATGTAAACAAGGGTTTCTGTCTGTCACTGCCCAGCTGGTCACAAAGCGGTGGCTGTGATGCAGATTTGCTTCACTCAGAGATGCAGTAAGATAAGAATTCCTAGTTTCTGTATGGGAGTATGTGAAAGCCATGGATCTGCCAGCAAGCTGCTCTTAGACAAGATGAGAGAGCAGAAGAGTTTGTTGGACAACCTATTGCCTACAGCAGGGATCAAAAAACTTCCATTCGAGCTTTGAAGCAGTAAGCGCTAGGGCAGGTTGCAGGCTGACTGAACTTTGTCAAAGAACAACTCGTTAACTCTGGCTGCTCTTCAGAAAGACAACTTGGAGAGAAAAAAAAAAATAACAAGACTGGCTGAAAAATTGTTAGCCTGTGCCCCATCATCCATTTCTACAACCCTTTTACTTTTAAACTTGATTGTATAACCTGAGAATATATACTCCCTATTTTACTCAAACCTTGCCAAAGGAGAGATTCCTCAACGCTGTTTTATTAGAGTATCTGAGAATAATTGGATCTAATGGCTCATCTGGAAATATTTTTAATATTCACAGTATTCTCTGTGTTTATGCAGGTTCAGTGGCTGCATAAGAAACATCCTTAATCTCTCCACTTCACATGCATTCTCCTTTTTGAATAACCTCTGTGCGAAATGTATCCTTGCAAAATTATTGGAAAAGACTTTAAAAGAAACCTAAATCACTCACCTGGATACATGCCAAAGGCTCATTTGTCCAAATCGAATAGCCGCCAACTAAATATATTCTACCATTGTGGACGGCGACTCCAGACTCATTTTGACCTAAAGCAAAAAAAGGAAATAGAAACCACTTTCAGTCTTTAATTAACCCTTTTAACACCAAACGTTGGAGTTCTGTCATACGATGCAAATGCACTCGGCAGTAACTTGACTGTTTCAGAATTCACAACATGCAACAGTGGAGTTGAAGTGTGAGGGCTGTTCTTTGCTCTCCATGGGAGCCCCATACGGCGCTGTCCGGAGAGATAACCCCCAGACAAGCAACAAACTGAGGCTGTGCAGGGGACCATCTGCTGTCTCCTCAATGGCACAGGTTTTTGTACGGGTGTACTTCATAGGTGACAGGCAAGCTCCCCGCCTGCCTCTCAGCTACTACCACACACGCACATCCAGATCGACACGTAGGCCAAGACCGCCAAACGCCCCTCACGTTCTGCCCACACCTGTTAACCCCCCCGTTCCTCCAGGTACAAGTATGGCGAACGTTGCAGAAGCTGCTGTGCAAGCTCATTCCCATAGCAACAGTCTCCTGAACAAGTTTGGAAGTCTTGAAGGATAAATACAGCCTTAAAAAAAAAAATAATAATCTTCACTACGCAGTGCAACAGGCACATTTACCGCCAGTTGCAGAGACGTCACAAAGAAAGGCTTAGATGGTTTCTCAAGGTGCAGGTTGTGGAAACAATGCACCAGGTCATATCTGAGGAGAGGCTACTGTCTCACAGCATTTACTGCTATGGGGTCAGCTCCAGAACAAGGGCACCTGCAGTGCCGGTGCTTTTGCAGTTGCAAATCAGATGGTGTCCTTCTCAAAGAATGTCAATTCCTCCAGATAATAAAGTAAAGTAATTAAATGGAGAGAAAAAGGGATACGAAAAACTAGTTCTGTTTGATCATATGTAACTCCTTCTTTTTAATCTATGCCTGTCTCCCCAATGTCCATGAAGTACTCTGATGACCTGCCTCAGAAAGGAAGCAACCCTTCTCCAGATCCCAGAGGTTAAGAACCTTAATGCAGTATCTCAAAAAACAAAGCTGTCACAAAAGCAGCTTTTAAGCCTACCAGGAGGAAAATGACATAAGGTGACCGTCTTATTTGTCAGACATTCGCTTCTCTGACGTGGTGTTTCTAGCTATCCTGAGCTTCTAGTTAAGCTCCTACATCCTTTGTGTCCTTTTCAGTGGTAGATCTTAGAAATCAACGCAATGCCAAATGGAAGAGGATGAAAAGTGAGGTAGGCTTAGTTCTAGGACTCCTGTAGCAGTCTGCGCTGAAACGTTTTGGCAGCCAGTACTGTTACTAATTGACCTCCACGTCTGCTGCACAAGAGAATGCCCCCAACATTAATGCTGTCCTGGAAATGCATCCTCTTCTGCAAAGTTGCTGGTGGTGCTACTCTGAGGATGCGTCACATGCGTGTCTGTCCCAGGGATTCGAGGAGGTAGTGCACCTGGGAATTGTGTCAAGTGGCAGTGAAATTTGGCGGACTGGGTGGCAGGGACAGTGAGCTGCAGTGCTTTGCAGGTTGCTACTGTAACAGTTCCTCCTAATGATGATCAAGAGGAACTTTACAGATCCATCGCAAACCAAGATACTTAAGTAATCCTCAACTTGACAGAATTCCAACAGAGACACCTCCTTTCAGATAATTTATTAAGAAGATATTGCTTAGAAATAAGTGATGGTTAATGGAGTTCAATGCTCTGTAGTGCCAGCAGGAAACGCTACAAAGCGGTATCATGGTAGAGTTGTTGAACACTCAAACAGGGAGCTAAATCTATCAATGCAGGCAGTTTTTGGAGAATCAAAAATAAGTACTGGCAATATTATGACAAAGAATTTTTGATTGATTAATTAAATTACATTTATGTGCACCTTCTTAACAATTTATCCTACAATGTACTAAGACAAATGTTTTGTAGAACACTGAATGCCGGAACAGTAATCAAAAGTGTCTTGTTGGCCTAAACCAAAGGCAATTGAGGCAAAGTCATGGAATTCCAAATACTAAAGGTGTCTAAAGGGAAAATAATTGATGTTTTATTCTAATAGTAGGGTGTTTGCTCTTTTGTTGTACAATACTCGCCTGTCAACATGTTGAAGCTGCAACGCGTCCATTGGTCAGCATCGATGCTGTAGGAGTCTATGTGCCGAACCAGGATCCGATCGTTGTTGTAGTCCAGATCATTCCCACCTAACACGTAAAGTTTCCTTTGGACGGCAGCCATGGAATGATACACTCTCCTCTGCAACATCGGGCTACGGCTTAACCACTTATTCTAGAAAGGAAAAGAGAACTTGTCTCAGCACCGCTCAAAGATGTACCTTATTAGTAGTACAATAATAGTAGCATGTTAGTGGTGTTCTCCTTACCCTTGGCCAGAAATCACAAGTGTAAATACTTGTGTTGTTCATACATGCATGTTGGTTATAACACTGACTACACATAGTGGACTTTCAACACGTGATTTACAGTTCTCGCATTTAAATTCATTAGTTTAATAGTATTTCTCACTCTGTATTTTTTCTGTTTAGATCATCAGGTTTCAAAGCTTTTTTGCTTCTTTAGAATTCAGTGGCAAATCCTCCTTAAGCAAGACTATTAGATGTCACCTTTGTATACAGAGCTAAAATTATCTGTTCTAACTAGCTCTGTTATGAGAGAAGAGAGATGATTCTACCTTCCGTTATTCAGGAGCTTATTTGATCTATCCCTGGGGAACGAAGCAACAGGGGAAAATAATTTCTTAAAAGATCTTCTCAAATGATTCATGTATTTGGTTTAACGCTAACCCTTTATTTGTGGGCACTTACAAAGTAACATCCTTTTGCATACTTTTCTTCCTGGTGAACAATATTCAAGAATTTTACCTGTTCAGGGGAGGGGCAAGAGAACACAGAGGAAGAGGGATTAAAGCACAGTATTTTAAACCTAAGAAAACAATTGCTCCTGCTACGCTTACCTAATCAAACAACCTGGCAAGGGATGAGATTAATTTATTTAAGTGGAGGAAGTTAAAATCCGTGAGGAAATTCTTTGCGTTACGTGTGCTACCGCTCGCGGTAACTCAAGAGCCTCTCCTCCTCCTGCCTTTTAACCTCCACAATATATAGCTATACATTTCAACGGGTAATAGTTGAATATTAGGCATTAATGTTTGCATTAGTAGTCCAGTCTCTTAACACCAGACTATAGACACCATCTGCTCCGCAAAGCCTGCCCGCATCCCCTGATTATATCTTTAGCTTCCTCCACTGCAGTGCCTGCCAGGTGAGCCGCAAAGCGCTGCAAAGGCAAAGAAACAGAGGGGCCTGGTGGGGTCATTTCTAATAAGCCGGCGTGTGAATACTAATCAGTGGTGGGGAAGCAGAGGTCACCCCAGCCGGCTTGTTGGCAGGTAGCTGTGTGCTCTGTGGCAGATGGCAGGCATTATCGACTCGCCACAAAGGCCTCGCGCAGAAGCAAGCGCTGGTGCTGAATGATAGAGTTATTGAGATTCCGTGCGAGATGCAAGCAGATGTGATGGTTTCCAGTACCCACCGTAAACAATATGCCAGCAGAATTTTTAAAAAGAGCCTGTGTGTACAAACACGAAGCGGACCTCATTTGAAGAACGCGAGCGCACACTGCCTCTGTAACTCCTTGCACGCCAGGCCGGGTTTCTCGCCGTCAGCGCAGCACGCTGAAGCAGCCCTGCCGCTGGTATTTTGGGGTGCAACTTTCACCTCAGCAAGTAAAGAATCACAGCGAAAGATACACCGTAGAAACACGGGATCTAAATAAGAGCGTCCCCCTCATAAGCAAAATAAGGTTGCTGCCTGTAATTACTACTTGGATTTCGGACAGAATCAGCATTTGTACAATCGGTGCAAAAAACTGCACCTCAAAAAGAAAGAGGTGGGTGTGACATTGGTTGTTTTCTGCTTCAGGACCCGTAGGCGCTGTGCTTTAAAAAGTCAGTGGGAACCACACAGAAGTATCTCCTGGCACAATTTGGTTCCAAATACAGCAATCAAAGCCCCTATCCTACAATCAGAAAAGTCAATACTCTTCCACGTAGGTGTAAATCAGGCTATGCAACTCTGATTGCAAGCTTAGGACTTTTAATTCCTAATACAAGTAAGAGGGCATAACCATGCCCTAACCCTCTGAAACGGTTACTGAGCCATGCTAACCTAATCAAAACACATACATAATGTATGAAATAATCCCTAAAAGATATTTTAGGTGCTTGGGTAATGAAATGATAGGCACCCTTGCAGTCAGGAGAATAAGTCACGGACAGGTAGTATAGTTTTGAAAGTATATGGAAAACAAAAAGCCCATATATGCAATTCAAAGCAGAAATGCCAATGACAAGGAGCAGTTTTGTGACACTGACTTTGAGTATACGTTGCCCAGGGCTGCCGAATTACAAAAAAAAGAACAAGCAAAACAAATACTGATAAATATAGGGGATTTAAAGCACATTTCTGTGTTTAATCTAAGACGTTTCTAACACTTAAAGGCTTAAAAAACATAATGAGAAGTCAGGGTCTCCATTACTCTGTTAAACTCTCACATCAGCACAAAGTGAATTTAAAACACCACTAATTCCAATGGTCAGCATTTTTAGCCTTACAAAATCATCGTATGTATTTGCTAAGAGATCTGTTTGAAGCAAAACATATGAGAAAAACACATACAACGCAGATACCCACCTGCTTAGGATCATAGACCATGAGCCTGTTTTGATACTGTGCAGTATTTGTTACTCCTCCTATGAAAGAATTTATACAGGTTACAATTTTTCATATAAGCAAAACCAGGACTGAGATCAGGTACAGCAAAATAACCAATTCTAGTGTTCATTTGCTGACATAACTACATTGCGTATCACCACTTCTGCTTACATTCCACTGCGCTTTTTAATCTGGTTACAAGGTACTAAGTAGCACGTTTGTCAAACATCTAGAAACGAAATAGCAACAACAAACACTCCCACACACTTCTACCTTCCTTTGTAAAGCTAATTCTATGGGCTAAAAATGAGATAAAAATTGATCTGGGTATAAATGGCTGTGCATTCAGCCGTCCTCAAGACGGGAGGATAAAGCCATCCTTGTTCCAAGGAGCGGGCAGTGTGTGACAGGGTTTAGAGGAGCAGGAGGTGGGTTTGCATCGGAGAGAAGGAAGAGATTGGAGAGGAGCTCTGCCTAACCAGGAGCGTGACGTGGGACACCGCTGCCAGCTGGAAAGCACATTGCAATCTGGTGCAACTGCACTCACCTATATATTTGAAGGAAATTCTGTATTTAGTCTGTACTACAGAGAGAACATCTCCTAGTTTAGTTGTAGACTGATGCTGGGAGCTTACTCCATAGTGACTAGGAACAATGCTACCATTTAGCATACGTACCTTTCAATAATGTTCGGAAAGCAAGGTATAAAGCACTTCAAACAAGCCCGGAATAGAGTCTGACCCAAGCAGATGCCACAAACCAACTATTTACCTCAACACAGGAAAATCTAATGCCTCATCCTCCCATTCTCTATTGGCTTTAAAGAGCAAATCTCACTAAGTAAACCGGTAGAAAAATTCTTCAGTCTCAAGTCTGTAATTTTACCTTCATAAACATGTTCTCAAGTGTGGTTAAGCCTCCTGGGGACATGGTGTCACTGCAGCACTGCCGCAGGGCCCAGTCCCCCCTCCTCTGTCATCACCCTGGGGTCCGTGGGAAGACAGGATCAAAAACAACACCTGCAAGCTGCACTTCAGCTTTCATCCTACCAGAAGGTCTGGACATAACTAGGGCATGCCGGCGGCCACACACCAGTGAAACTCACATTGACAGACAAAACTTTTTAATTACAGTTTTAAAGAGCATGTGCCAAGACGGACAAAGACGGATAAGATCCGGGGAGATCTTATTGCGGCCTTCCAGTATCTGAAGGGGGCCTACAGGAGAGCTGGGGAAGGACTTTTTACAAGGGCATGTAGTGACAGGACGAGGGGGAAGGGATATAAACTGGAAGAGGGCAGGTTTAGATTAAACATTAGGAAGAAGTTTTTCACTTTAAGGGTGGTAAGACACTGGAACAGGTTGCCCAGAGAGGTTGTTGAGGCCTCATCCCTGGAGGTGTTCAAGGCCAGGCTGGACGTGGCCGTGGGCAACCTGGTCTAGTGGGAGGTGTCCCTGCCCATGGCAGGGGGGGTGGAAGTCGCTGGTCTTCAAGGGCCTTTCCCACCTAAACCATTCTATGATTCTATGAAAATCCACAGCAATGAGAAGAAGGAATTTCATCTGTCTCGTATTCGTTGAAGCTGTAGGTGAACCAGCTCTGGCAGCGAGGTTGGACAAGATGATCTCCAGAGGTCCCTTCCAACCCCTACCATTCTATGATTCTTTTTTTGTGAGGACATCCCCTGTTTCAGACACAGCGGCAGCACAGCTGCTTTCCTTCCTGCTGGCTGAGCTATGGCCACATCCTACTAAGGCCGCTGGGTTTTTTTTCTATCCCCGACCAGCATTAACATGGCTCCATGATGGACAATCTTCATTTTGTCAGCCTCCAGATGCATCTAGCGCAGCATTTTAGTTCAAAGCCATACCGAAGCAACTCCTCCACCTCTCACAAGTCATTTTAGGCTATAGGGTGGGACTGGTGTGCATTCAAGTTAAACCAGAAGCTCAGCTCCAGATGTGCACCAGCTGTGCTCCAGTTCTTAATGAGGCATAAGGGTGTGAAATAATAACTGGTCCAGAAGACCAGAATAAATGTAGTCCAAAGCAAAAGATGCGAAAACTATACATGGAGCAGCTATAGAGAACTCAGCCCTAAAGTTAGCACTAAAGTTTTATCTGCTGATCTGCTGCTACTGGGCTGAGCTACTTGCTAATATAGATGACCCTCTGATCACTCCAAATAACTTGAGTGAGGCCAAGAATCTGATCAATGGATAGCCCAAACTACGGACAAATCTATTCGAGAATCTTGTCTTCAACTGCAGCAGCAGGGAGGAATAACACTGTTATTTGGGCGCATCTCCGCAAGCACCAGCCTATACTGGGGCCCTACACATGGACAGTAGCACGAGTTCCCAGCTCAGAGACGCTTACAGGCTACGAGACAGCCGAGATGAGATGTAGTCTTTCCAAACTGTTTCCATCACATTATGCCACGCACTGCCCATCACAGCACCTGTGAAGCACACACGCAAGAACGCGCATTGGAAAGCAATGACTGTTCCCATATCTAATCTCGCAATCTGTTATTTGTCTCTACACTGTTGTGCAACCGTCACAGTGTTAGTGGCCGTCAGCCACACGCACAAAGCAATCTTTTCTAATATCTGTTTTGTAATTTGATTTTCTTTTACATAGTTATTTTCACTCCTAGCGTAATGTTTAAAAATGAGATGTCAGATTAGTATTTTGAAAAATAAAAATCATAGTTATTTGGATGATTACATCCAGAATGTTAAACTACAGGAGATGCATTGGAAACATAATGCTGGATCTTGTATTTCCCTTCAGAAAGGACACCTTAATTTGGGGGGAAAGATCTGCAGGAAGAAGAGAAAGAAGGGGGTTGCTTCCTTGTAAAATAATGAAATAATCAAATAAGCAAAATTATTTGCCTCTCTTCACAAAGAGCCCCTCGTATCAAGTACACAGCTTACATTTTTTCCCCTGCAATATTGCTCATCTGTGGTGTTTTATCATTACATTCTCTTCACATA